GGACCTCTGCTCGTGGGAGCGGTCATCTCTGAGGGTGTAAACCTCTGAGTCCCAGCCGAGTGAGTCCCTGCCCCGGAGGCTGTGGTTGATGCGTCCGAGGGAAGTGTGCCTTGGGATGTAGCCCCGGGGGGAACCTTCTGGTTCTTGGTGGTCTCTCCTGCAGATGCCGTGGCCATGGAGTTTGTTGAGAGCCTACCCTTTTCTCCTTCAGGGATGTTTGTTGACTTCGAAGCCGCATTCCTCTCTATATAGATGCTTGATGTTCCTCTTTTCGCAGAGGACATGTTTAGGGAGTGGATATTCCCTGTACTGTTTTCTCTTGATGTTGATGGTTGTCCAAGAGGAGAAGTTGTACATGTGCCTATTTTAGAACTTGTTTCTTTTGTATTAATTTTCACCAGAAATGGCACAGCTGTTTTAGCTTCTCTCCTTTCTCTCTTTTCCATAGTCTCCGTATTCATGGAGGCGATGAGTCTATGGACAGAGTTTATGGTGGACTCTGACCCTGTTGGAGCATATGACATCAGAGCATCACTGTTGCTTATTTTGTTGTCTCCTGCAGAGTTGGGTTTAGGAGAGGCCAAGGGGTATTTGGCGTGTGAGTGAGTCCTTTCCAGTCTGGTACCATCCCTGGAATTTTGAGTCCCTCTAGGTAATAAGTCAAGTGGGAAAGAAGATTCTGTCACAAATAATGGATTCGTACTTCTTGCATGTTTAAAGGCAGCAGTTGTGGCCTCTGATGAAATCAAAGACATTGAGTCATTTTCCTTGTAAACCATCAAATCCACGTCTATCTCCTTTGCTGCTGTCATTGCTGCAGAAATATGATTTGTGTCCCAGATGCTCCCTGTTCTATCACCCTCTGTCTTTGAGGTCTCAGTGGAAGCAGTGTATTTATCACTGACTGGACCATCTGTGGTCTTTACAGTGACTGGGTCTGTAGACGCTTCCCTGACAAAAGTTCCTTTTGTGGAACTCATCCTTAGAGAACTGAATCCTGGAACGATACTTTCAGCAGAAGACTTCCTGCAGGGAGTTCCATTTGTCTGGACATGAGGTAATGAGCTGGTTCTATGCTCTGAATTTGTCATTTCTCTAGAGGGTGACTCAGGGAGGGCAGAGGTCATCATCTTCAAGAACTGGGTGGTTCTTCCCTTAATCAAAGATGTACGATTGGCCGTGGTCTTACCTAAGGATGTAAAGGGCTGGACACTTTTCTTCCCCACGGCCTCACCTGCAGATGTCTCCCGTGGCGAACTGATGCTGTTAGGTCCAGAATCCATCTCCAGTGTGGTTTCAGTGCTACTGCCCCTTCTTGTCAAAGATGGGGTAGGAGCAGTTGACACAGGGAGTCCTGTGGGTTCAAGCATGGAGGTGTCAACATCTGCCTTGGGATGGAGGCTGTGGGAGATCAAAATTTGGCCACCCTGAAATATATCTCTTTACCTTGATTGTTTTCTCTGAAAGACATTTCACCTCCCCCACTAACTGCCTAAAGAATTTGACATGGTGGCTCCTTCCTAGA